TAATCTTTTAAAACCTGACTACAATTGTTTAATTACTGGGTAATTCAACCAATTATGATTACATACCTCATTACCATGTCTAGCAAGACATATTAAACTCAAGTCTGGTGGATAGGCACCTGGAAAAATAAACCAAACACATGCCATCAACTTACAGATACATGATACACTTTATTGACTTTTACAGTTAAGTTGTTGAATTACAAAATATCTTTTTTTCTAATATCAAATATATATCTCACCAGCATTTGCTGATCTTGCTGCTTCCTCATTTTTGTAAGGGTTTGGAAGGATATCTGAAAGCTAAATGTCCATATAGGAAAGTTTTAGATTGAGCAATTTGTTAAGTCTTATGGTCACCCCCTAATTACGGACACCTATTTATGTCTCTTTGGTGATCAGATTAACAAGGTTTCAATGTAATGACAATCAGTGCTATCTAGGTTACCTTTCCTGGTCTGGTGAACATCTCTCCCTCCTCATCAGGACCATCTTCAATGTCGTACTATACAAAAACAACATATTAAAATGACATTGGATGGGTATACAACAATCATTGTGTGATTTGTTTGTTGTGTCATCCAGACTCAATATTCTTCTAAGAAAATGACAATGACAACAAACAAAAACAATGGATGACTGAGCTTAAAAGAAAAGGTGGTTTAACTTTAAATCATTTTGATGAATTTTCACTGAGAAGTATGTACAGTGTACAACATGTAGTTCTGTTTTAATGGAGTTTAGGCAATTAATTTTTTATTTATAGGATTTGTTGACATCAATAGACCTCTGCAGCTTTTACGTCATGTACTGTATACGCAATGCATTGTAGGATATGTTTGGGACAGAACATGGCGGATTTCTTTTGTTTTCTCTTGAAACTGATCCCACAATGCATTGAAAATCAAGTAGTGACGTAAATGGTTCAGAAGTCTATTGCTTTCCTAAACTCTTAAGCTCACCACACATGACAGGAAAGTGCATAAGTGAAATGCAACACAAGGCGCTTTGATCAGTATGTGACATTTTGCTTACACACTTTCCTATTGAGCGGCTTTAGACATGAGACATGAAGTGCTTTACCTCTGCAGCTATGGCTTTCATTTCTTCTTCTGTGTAACAAACATCTACTAAGTGACGGAATGCAATTCTCTCCATGCTATGACATGCTGCACACACTTGCCTGTACACTTCAAACCCTCTACGAATGCTGTAACAGAACAAAACAATAAATATTATAGTAATTTATTAATAGAGTGCAAACAAACCTAATGAAATACATGTTCTAACCACTACAGAACTATGCTAATTTCTTTGTTTTCTGTTGTCTAATCAWCACTATTTAGTGTTATTTATCATATTTCTTGCTGTTTGCACTTGAACTTAAAATCTACTAATAATGCAATCTAACAGTAATAGTACCACTAAATGTATGAAGTTATCCTTTATCAGCATGATGCATATAGGATTGTATCAAATAAAGCCTTGGCTGCTAGTGTTAGTGTACAATTSCAAGCTTTTCCTATCTACAATATCATCTATTCCCTGGCGATCGATTCGTGACGATGCTGTAAACAGCAAAAGCTTGGAATTGCATTAACAACTTACAAATAGCAACCAAGCCTTCATTTGATACACTCTTAATAGAAGTTTYCACTGATTTTAGAATTCTGCAACAATTATCAATAGTTATTTGATTATTTATTCATCATTACTTATCATTATTACCTGGCATGRTCCAAGGAACTAAAAACCCCTTTATGATTCCATGGCAGCTTTGGAGGGTGCAGTTCTAATTCTTCAGCACTGACATCAGGTTGTAAAAGATATCCTGTGACAAAKCCTCCAGTAGCTAATGCACTCAGAGTTATAAATGTAGAGGTCTGATAATAGAGATATCAACCAATCATTGATAATGACTAGTTAACACCAGATACATGTGGAAAACATAAGTGCAATACTCCAGTTTCGAGATCTTATTTGTGTAGCCTTAACCTCGAAAATAGTCCAGCTGCTAACGTCAAAAATTGTTCACTTTTATGATAAATTGTAATCTTTTAATCTAGTAGAGATCCTATTGTAATGCAAACACTCTGTGTACAAAGAAGACAATAAAAAATTTTATGCTTGATTGAAGCATAGTTTGCACAAAAGAGAATTTGAAACTGGAGTATTATACTGAAGACAAATTATTACCTTGGACTGTGAGGCTGTTTGAGCGACAGAACCAGCTGATCTGCTTTGTGCCTGCAATATTGATAATTACAGTTTATATAATTTTTGATATATAATAGATGCTCTCATTGGCTGATAAAAAAATAAAAAATAAAAATATGTAGAAAAATCTATAAGATGTAAGGCAATGCGAAAGAAGGAAAACACATGATGTTTCTGATAGTCAAATTTTGAGCTCTTGTATACTCTCCAACTTCCACTATGAAAACACAGACACAACTGGCAATTTTATTTTTCTTAAAAATACAACAGAATAATTGCAATAATAAAAAGTGACAATCATGATTATAAAAGTATCATTCAATACCAATAAAGTACAAAAAGCAATAATAGCTTGATATTTATAATTCAAAGAATCTTAATAATTTTCAAATATAACAATTATAAAGTATATTTAAATATATAAGTATATCTTATCACGTTGATTCCAACACTTGTTAATGTAAAAGAAATTGGTAATGACAGGTTCTAGTGAACAACAGATCTTCTAGAAAACATAGGTTCAATGTACGTTAAATACTGTTAGAAACACTCGCTATTTATATAGTACAAGAAAACTTTCCATAAATCAATCAAGCAATAATAAAAAATTAAAAAAATACATAAATGTTAGTATATATTAATTGTTTTTATCATAATCATAGGAATGAAAATCAAATTGATCGTTGAAAAATGACAGAGGCAAGAAACATTGAAGTTATCGTGTTTTGATTATGCAATTACACTGCGTCAGTTTAAATCATCGTAGCAGATTCCATATGTGAATTGTATCATCACTTTGAATTACTGAGTTTTTGTCTGAAAAAATTGTACAGAATAGAAAATCGATGCATTAAATTTTCTTTTTTAACTCTGATGTGTACGTTAAATGGACATCATACTGGTATAATTTCAAACGCCGGTCAGTGATTCATGATCTGATGTTTGACTCGTCGCTCTCAAGYTCAGTGGAAMAGTRTGGCCTTATTTCAAAGTAAATATTGTAACTATTCGCAATCTTTCAAAGACATACAATATATTATTACAAAAAGAATCTGTAAAAACGTTAGGGATAAATCTGTACCTTTAAAACATCTGGAAAATGCCGAGAAAAGTTCCTCAACCGGAGCACATTTCTCATCGCCATTTTGAAATCCTTCCCCTGGAARCCCACAATGCAAAGCGGTTGGTCTAAAGCGCATGTCACAACTTTGTAACCGCGCCAATTTTCAAAAATCCAAGATGGCGGACGAAGAGTCAAAATGAAATAGAGAGAAATTAAAGAAAATTTCCCAGAAAACTGCGCAGTTTTGTATTAAAGGATTAATTCAGAGTCAAAATTTAGTAAGGTAAGGACATTTTCATGTTGTTTAAATTTAACGCTAGATGAAACTCAGGCTACGAGACATAGGAAAGCTAATTTTATAAATTTTATTTATCCACGGAACATCCCAATCAGTTAAAAATGATAACTGAACTATATGGCAAACTACAATGATAAACTATAAACTATTATAGACTATAAATATGATAATTAAGTTTTAACGAAAAGAGTGTTTTCCGTGGGAGCCGTGCAAATAAAAGAGCAACAACAACAACAACGACAACAACCGCACCGCACCCCTATAAAGCTATTTTTCAGGTAGTTTGTGCGGGGCAGGGGAATGGCTAGTTTGCTCTCAGTGTCTCGCAAAGAACGCTGTCACGGTCTGTGAACATAGAGCTCATGTAATTTGGAGCTAGACCATTAAGTGATTTATAGAACAATGACAGCCTTAGAAAACCTGAATTGTTATTCAAGTGTTTACCATCCTAGTCGATCTTGTAATTAGTTTGTCGGCATTAGCGTCATAGCTGGAAAAGGTCAAAATTCTTGCTGCTCTGTTTTGTAATTTTTGGAGTTTAGTAGCAAGAGATTTGTTACAGTTGTCCCATACTTCCCAGCAGTAATTAAAGTGAGGTTGCACTAGAGAATTGAATAAGCTAATAAGCTTATGTAGCTGATAAGGCTCTCG